ATGAATTAGGTCTGCAAAATTGGGGTCATCACCCCACCAAAAGATCCATAGTTCTCTGCGCCCAGGCCTCTGGTCTCGTCGCCACACACTCAAGACGTCAGCCTTTAGGCAACGACTGTAACTGCTTAGGATGGGATCTTCTTCCGTTACAGGGAAAAGAATCGGAGCAGACGTTGGGCCCTGCCATACATAGCGTTTCCATTTAATCCCAGTTAAATCAGCCTGATAGAAAAATTGAACAGATATTAAGAGCAGAAAGAATTGGATGTTCTCTTTTAAAATTTCGAACTTTATGAAAGGCATAGTTCTAGTGATTTCAAGCAAACTTTTCTTATTCTAATGAAGAAACACGTGACACTTTAGAAATTACAAAATAATTGTCTTGCGGGTGATAAACATTTGAAACCGTAGCCACTATGTTTAGTCAATCTGTGCTCCATAAAATCAGTGGCAGTATTGTTACTCAAACACAGTAAAATTCCATTATAGGATGTAAAAAAAAATGTTTTCAATAACGCCAGGGCACATTCCAGATATCTTTGGACTTTAATTCTCATGTCACCCAGTCTAATGATAAAGTATTGAGAGAGCTGAGTCAAAACATCTAAAAGGTTACTCTGAATGGCTCATTTGGTTGTATCTACTGATTATCCCCATATAAAGAACTTGCACCCTAAGAGAGTCTGCATTTGTCAGAAATGCAAACACACCTCAGCCATAAGCCCCTCATTAGCAAACTTATTTAGTACTTGAGACATAATTAAACAGATCCAAACTGGCTTTAAATGCATGAATTCCAATAAAAGCATTAATTGTTACTATTTCTACCAGAGAGGAATGGAGAGGAAAGAGATAGCAAAATAAATTAAGACATTTTTGAAGCATAATTCAAAAGAACTTTTAAGAGAATCTTCCACCTCTTCCTTCCAGGTATGCAATACCACCACACTGCTCCTTCACAAATAGGGTCTACAAATTATTACGGAAATTGCCTGGGCTCAATTTCAACTATCTTTTATGCTCTGTTCAATATATTACTTCCCTTTCAGCAGAAAATATTAAAAAAAATCTGCTTCTGCTCTCAATCACACCATGAAATGACAGAATTTGCAACAGTTGGTGCATTTGAAATGGGGAGGGGAGAAGTAAATAGGGCAGTGATAATTCTGAGCATGGGCCAGCCTAACCCGCAACCTGGGTTCTTGCTGATGTATTCCAGCTTCTTGAATTCGTTGCACCCGCTCCATACAACCACAGCAATTCATCTACTTTTAGCAACCAGACAAAGTAGCTACCAGTCGGCATTTAAATAAAACTTGAGAAAGAGGACAAAACTCTGGTTAGGAAACTCAACTGGATTCCACCGAAGAAAGGAAAACAATGTTATAAAAAAAGCATTGGGTTGTTGGTTTGCCTCCATCCATCCTTTAAAAATAAAAAAATCCAAAACTGGAACCTACAAATAACAAGGCCCCTCCCCCAGAGGCACTTTATCTCCAATCTGAGTAGGGTTCTACTATTAGGGAAGTGGGGTGAAGGCGGAAAAGTTAGCGTGAGAAAAAGGAGGGGGGGAAAGGCATGCTTTGGGCTAGACAGAATGAAAATGAGCCGAGATAAAATAAACACAAGAAATCATGTTCCTAGTGCCACCCACCTATAACAACAACCACAACAACAAAAAGGCCGGAGAGAGAAAACTAAAGTTTAGGGGGAAAAATCAAGGTGATAAACAAAGGACTGGAAGAGGAAAGTGCTGGGAGAGAAAAGAAGAGTGCAAAACAGACTTGTAGGCAAATCGCCTTGCGAGAAGGAAGAGGGGGGGGCGGCATAGGGAGAATTGGGCGACTCCTGGCAAAGGCCTACTCCAGAGGACTCCTCCAAGCAGAATGCTAAAAATGGCTGCTTTGCTTCCATTCCTCTCTCTCTCCCCCCACCTTCTTTTCCTCCTCTTTGCTGGCGATCTCATCTCTCTCTCTCTCGCCCCCCTCCTTTCCCTTGCACGATTTATCTCCTGCGATCTGCCCTTCAACGCCTCCTTCCCCCCCTCCCTTACAAAAAAAGAAAGAAAAAAAGAAACACACACATAAAGTAGCCACTCACCAGACAGAAAAGGTTGGAATGGCAATCTTCCAGGCTGGCCCCGTTCGGCACGAAGCAGGAACTCATCCTCACAGCCACAACCCGCACGCCATTATCCCACAAGCCTCCGACAAGAAAGAAAAGCCAAGAGACAGAGCGAGAGAGCGACACACACCACACCAGACCGAGAAGGAGGGAGACACAATCAAAGGGAGGGAGGAAGGGATGGGGCGGTGTGATTGGGGGGGGGGGAGAGAGAAGAGAGAGAGAGAGAGAGAACGGGCCTGTTCCTTTTCTAAAACACACACACGCACTGCAGGGAGAGAAAGAGAAGGGGTGACGAGGTTGCCCGGAGCAGGAAGAAATAAGCTAAGCCTAGGGAAGGAAGGAAGGAGGGCTTTTTTCAAACGAAAGAAATTTCAACGCCTCCCGGGCAGTAAAAGGTGTAAAGAGAAATCCGCGGAAGGAGGGAGGCAAGGAGGGGGCCGGCGAAGGCTGGACGGGGGGTGGAGGGGATAGTGAATCCAAAAGGGCTGGCAAAAGGCGAGAGATTTACGATCTTCAGCCAGCCAGCCAGCCAGCGAAAGAGAAGGGGGGGGGGAGGAGAAGGAGGGCGGGTGTGAAGTAATCCAGGAATCGAGCCCGCTGCTCCCTTTAGCGCCTCGTTTTTCTCCCGTCACCCTGGCTTTGCAAGAAAGACACGGCCACACGCGAAAAGGAGAGAAAGAGCGGCGGCGGCGGGGTTGAAAGCAGGCGAGCCGAGGCAGGGCCGAGCCACCCCGCCGTTCTTCTCCCAGCTGCCTCGAGCCTCCCTGGCCCGAAAGAAGAACTGGACGGTCAGGGAGCCCCGCAAGAGGAGGCGCGGAGAAGAGGAGGGAACTTCCACTTTGGAGTCGGCCCGCCGCGACTTCTTCGCAAGCCCCGGCTCTTCCCCCTCCTTCGGCTTTTTTTCCAAAAGGAAAAGGGGAAAGAGTTCGCCTTCTTTTTTTACGACGCTCGACACAAGCGTATTTTCCGCCGCTTTGTTTTTTTTAAAGAGCCGCCTTGAAAATCTTCCGACTTCCCATGGAAGCGAAATCCACGGCTGGGTGTTTGGTTTTCCAGTCCGGGTGAAGGAATCTTCCTTTTTGCCTTTTTCTCTTTTCTTTTTTGCAAGAAGCAAACAGCGGAATCGGGAGAGCAAAAAGTCAATTTCCAGTAAGATGATTCCCCCCCCCTTCGAAATTAAGATGCCAAGACGCTTTTCCAGAAAAAAGAAAAAAAAAATGGGGGGAAGTCACAATTCTCCGGTTCTCTTTGCAAATCTTTTATCCAAAACAACAAAAAAAAGCCCTCCTGGTCCTCGATTCAGTGGGTGAAAATATAATAAAATCGGGGGTGGATTCCTTACTTTCCCCTCGCCCCCCCCCAAAAAATCTTCCAAAAGAGGAGAAAACCGACCAAATTTCGTTTCGTTTGGCCTCCAAGAGGCCAAATGCCCTCTTCCCCAAAGATAACTTTTTGGAAAGCGAAGAATTTTTCCCAGAATAGGAAGCTACTAATTCAGCTCCCCTTGATTTTCCCTTCTGCAAACAGCGGCCAGAAACTTCCTTTTTCAAACGCCGAAAGGGAGGAAAAAAATAAAAAGAGTGGATCTTTTTTCCCAAAATAACCACGAAGGGTCCTCAATTCAGGCTGTTTTTCCGTGCGATCAATTCTTGGAGGAGTTGCTGCCCCGCGATGGGGTTTTGCGGGTGGGGTGGGGGAAGCTTTTCTCCCCCCTCTCTCAAGAAATATGTACTGGAAACAGGATTTTTCTTTTTTGGTTAATTCCTTTAACTTCGTCCCCTTTTTTTTCTTCCAGGCACTGGAACAAATGGAAGTTTGTCTTCAAGCCTTTTCTTTTTCCTCAAGCTACCCCCCCCCCCAAAAAAAAACTATGGAACTTTTTCTTCGCACCCGGGAAGAAAAGCCGAAAGAGGGAAATCTTCGAGATAACGATGTATTTTTTTAAAAAAAAAACCAAAAATCTGGAATCGCAATCAGCCACTTGGAAAGGCTCTTGCTCTCCCCCCCCCCTTCAGAAACGTGAGGAAATCTCTTCTTTTCCAGATATTTTTTTTTAATCCTCCTCCAGAGACTTTGAGGAGACCTCGCCGAGGGGAGGGGAAGGGATCTGGGGGTTGCCCCCACCTCAAAATAAAAGGAGGGGAGGGTTATAGAGTTTTTTTTAAAACAAAAAAAAGGGTGACTTTTCAATATAAATAACGTCTCGGGCCTCCCCGGAATAGGAAACCGGGTCCTCTTTTCCTATAAAAATTAAAATTCCTGAGGCGATTTTGGGGCTCCGGCGTCCTTCCCGAAGGCTTGTTTGACAGGTGAGGACCGAGGAGACGACTTCGGGAGAGGGGGGGAGAGAGAGAAATAAATCCACCCCCCCGGCGCAAGCGTTTCCTCTTCGGTTCCTCGCCGTCTCTTCCCTCAGCGGTGCCTCTGTCGGCGGCTTCCCAGCCGAGGCATCCTGAGTGCCGGATGCCCTTCTCCGCCTCCTCCTGCGCAGCCGCCGCCTTCGCCCACTCGGCCGTCTCCTTCAGCGGGTCTCCCCCATGCCGACGACGACGACACTTCCCCCCTTTTCTCCCTCAATATTCAGGCTGTCTCGGACGACTCCCTCCCCTCAGAGCCTTATTTCGGCCAATTTTTTCCCCTCAGTCTCGCCTCGCTTCTCTAATGGCGGCCGCGACCAGGCGAGCGTCGGAAGGGAGCGACTCCGCCCCTGCGCGCCATTGGCCGCCTTCTTTTAGAGGCCTTCCCCCTCAACCCGACGTCGCCTCAGCGGATTGGACGCGCGGACGTCACGTGGAAAAGCCACCCGCCATTGGCTGGTCGAGGAAGACGAAAGGGGCGGTGCCGAGGGACGGTGGTATAAAAAGATGAGAGGCAGGGCTGTCGGTGTTTGACGCTCGATGGAGGCGGTCGAGATGTTGAGGCCGGGAAGCAGGGAGAGCGAAAGGGAAGACCAGGGAAGCCCGGCGGGTCAGCAGGCATGAAAAGGCGCCTGAGGAGCGAGCGCCATCTAGAGGGTCGGTGGAGGGATCGCAGGGGAAAATCCGAGAAGAGTCGTGGATGCTTTTTTTGTTGTTGTTTACAAGAGTCTGGCTCATGTTAATTTGCATTTACATTGACGTCCTTTGAAGTGGTTAGCTTGGAATTTAGGGCTTATTTATGTAATTTTTCACTGAAGTTGAGCTGAGATCTTTTTTTTTTTCACTTTTCATTACAGGTAATCCTCATTTAGGGACTGCCTCATGCTATACTGTGACAGTTCAAGGGATGGTGATGAAAAAGTAACTTTGCAGCTAATCCTTGGCAGATCTGAAGAGCAAAAGAAAGCTGAAATTGGACTGCAAGCACGGTTGTAGTTTTATTTAATGGCCACTTTGCTTAACTAAGTTACTGGTCCCAATTATAGTTGTTAAATGAGATCTACCTTCATTTCTCTAGGCGCATCTTGGAGATGGAGTACAAATTGATGAAACAATTTGGTGTCAGCAGTGGCATTTATTCCAAATGCTCTAAAGTCTTCTGTTTTAATATCAACTTTTTATGACCCTGTAATCTCTTAATTTGGGAGAAAGTCGTGATGACTGGATAGAGCTGAGAGTTTACTGGCTGGATGCCCTTCCTGATGTCTATGCAGAGTTCACAGCAGAAATTTTTTTCTTGGCACCCCTAGGAGAGAAATATCTGCTGCTACCTAGGATTGTATTTTCAACTTTCTGAGTGGGAGGCAAGTCTTCACCATTAGGCCAGCACCCTGCTCAATATATAATTAATATAAAATGACTTCATAATTATTAAATTATTTGATATGTATATGCTCTATAATCTATTCTGTTTTGAAATAAAGCCAGCTGGTTATAATAATAATAAAGTTGGAAGGGACCTTGGAGGTCATCTAGTCCAACCCCCTGCTCAGGCAGGAAACCCTATACCATTTTGAACAAATGGCTGTCCAGTCTCTTAAAAATTTCCAGTGTTGGGGCATTCATCGCTTCTGGAGGCAGGTTGTTCCACTGGTTAATTGTTCTAACTGTCAGGAAGTTTCTCCTTAGTTCTAGGTTGCTTCTCTCCTTGATTAGTTTCCACCCATTGCTTCTTGTCCTGCTTTCAAGTGCTTTGGAAAATAGCTTGATTCCCTCTTCTTTATGGCAGTCCCTGAGATATTGGAATACTGCTATCATGTCCCCCCTCGTCCTTCTCTTCGTTAAACTAGACATACCCAATTCTAGCAACCGTTCCTTATATGCTTTAGCCTCCAGTCCCCTAATCATCTTTGTTGCTCTTCTCTGTACTCTTTCTAGAGTCTCAACATCTTTTTTACATCGTGGTGACCAAAACTGGATGCAGTATTCCAAGTGTGGCCTTACCAAGGCATTGTAGAGTGGTATTAATACTTCCTGTGATCTTGATTCTATCCCTCTGTTAATGCAGCCCAGCACTGTGTTGGCTTTTTTGGCAGTTGCAGCACACTGCTGGCTCATATTTAAGTGATTGTCCACTAGGACTCCGAGATCCCTCTCATAGTTGCTACTATTGAGCCAGGTACCCCTTATACTATACCTGTACATTTGGTTTTTCTTGCCTAAATGTAGAACCTTACTTTTTTCACCATGGAATTTCATTTTGTTAGATAGCGCCCAGTTGACTTTGGGCAATCACTCCCTCGGAGCCTAACCCACCTCACAGCATTGTTGTGGGGAAAATGGGAGGAGGAAAGAGCATTAGGTATGTTCACCACCTTCAGTTATTTATAAATATATACATATTTATTTATTATAAATAGAACGAAGGTATATCGATTTAAAAAAATTAAAATCGTACAAAATTTCATCAAGTATTGGTTGACAATTCCAAGTAATTATGTTCTCTGATTGTTCAGGATTTCTAGGTTCCCTCAAATACTGGAACACTGCTATCATGTCACCCCTAGTCCTTCAATTCCTGCAACTGGTCTTCATATGTTTTTTTGTCTCCAGGCCTTTAATCATCTTAATTGCTCTACTTTGTACTTTTTTTCCAAAGTCTCAACATCTTTTTTTGTAGAGTGGTGACCAAAACTGGATGCAGGATTCCAGGTGTGGCCTTACTAAAGCTTCATAAAGCGGTACTAATACTCTGGTAGTAATGCTCTGGGACACTGCAAACCATCATAAATACATGCCATTTGCTGATGTTGCAGAGCGTGCAAGCCTCTTCTCCTGGACCCTGCTGCTGAAATTCCTTGATTGACAGGGTCCACTGCTGACAATCCCACTGGGGTGAAATGGTGGATGTTGTCTCAGTGGGTGGAGCGCCATGCTGGAAGCCTTGCACCTGGCATTATGCATTATTTTGAGCATTCCAGTTTCTCAACCAGTCTGGATCCGAAGATCCAGTTAGAACAATTAACCAGTGGAACCACCTGCCTCCAGAAGCTGTGAATGCTCCAACATGAAGTTTTTAAGAAGAGACTGGACAGCCATTTGTCTGAGACGGTATAGGTTCTCCTGCTTGAGCAGGAGGCTGGACTAGAAGACCTCCAAGGTCCCTTTCAGCTCTATTCTATTATATTCTAATCTATTCTATTCTATTCTATTCTATTCTTGGATTTAAAATGAAAAACTGGCCCTTGTCTCTAATGCAGTGAAGGATGGATCCTCTTTTTAATCCAATTTCCTAAACAACTAGCTTCTTCCAAATGAATTCTGATCACATTTCTCCAAAGCGGCTGAAGGCAGGACAAGAAGCAACGGATGAAAACCTCTTAAGGAGAGAAGCAACCTAGAACTAAGGAGAAACTTCCTGACAGTTAGAACAATTAACCAGTGCAACAATCTGCCTCCAGAAGCGGTGAATGCTCCAACACTGGAAGTTTTTAAGAAGAGACTGGACAGCCGTTTGTCTGAAATGGTATAGGGCAGTGGTGGCGAACCTATGGCACGGGTGCCAGAGGCAACACTCAGAGCCCTCTCTGTGGGCACACGTGTGGTTGCCCCAGCCTTGCCTCCCCCACAACCCCCTCCTCACCAGCAGCCCTCCTGGAGGAGAGTCACCTCTGAGCGTGGCCCACGCGGAGCAGCACAGCCAAGGACATGACAGCCAGGCAGTGTAGACAAGACTGTGCCCTCATGCCCCAACGCGCATAGTTGATGTTGTGGGGCGTGGGCAGAAGGCGTGGCTGCCGTGGCACTGCTGGGCTGCCTGTGCGGCAGGCCCTGGAGGCGGTGAGTGGTCCTGTGGGCAGGCAGGGTGGGGAATGGGGGGCAGAGCAGGGGCGAGGCCAGTTTTTGGGCACTCAGTCTCTAAAAGGTTCGCCATCACTGGTATAGGGTCTCCTGCCTGAGCAAGGGGTTAGTCTAGATCACTGGTTCTTAACCTGGGTGATATTGCCCCCCAGGGGGCGATTTCATTTTTCAGGGGGGGCGATGGAACGAAAAGAGGCGACACGGGGCAAAGGAACAAAAAGGGGGCGATGGAGCGAGACGTTTTGGGGACACTTTTGAGACTTTTTCGTACCGTGAATCGCTGTATATCTGTCGTACAAAAACATCAAATCACTCGCTATTAGTGGATTGAATTGTGTTTTCAAATGTTCCTCCAGCTAGCTTCAGTACAGAACGCCGTACATATGTGAAGACGCATCGCTTATCTTCATGCGCGTTGCGCAGCAGCCTCTACCCATACAGTGGCGCACCATTGGCCAGAATATAGGAGATATGGGAAAAAGACTGGAAATAAATTATTTGCATCGATATGTCCTGATGACAATTTTAAAGAAAACAAAACAAGTGTTTGCATAAATTGAAGAATTATTTCCTATGTTGTGATTGAAAGGTTAGGTTTCGGGAGGGGGGCGATGACAACTTCCTCATTGGCTCAAGGGGGCGATTCGTTCAAAAAGGTTAAGAACCACTGGTCTAGATGACCTCCAAGGTCCCTTCCAGCTGTATTATTATTATCATCATTATTACATCCCTTGTGCTGCATCTTGACCCAACTGGGCTGAAGATGTCTCTTTCCACTCTGCCCCCTCAGAAACCATAGACTTTTGTTTCCTGAGGAGACAACCTCAGCCAGCCTGCATTAAATTGCCAAGTTTTGTTTGTTTCAAAGGGTTGAATTTCTCCTTGGGGATAAACAGGACTTAATAACACTCCAAACAAGGCTCTATGTTGCATGCCAAGATAATTACTCTTAACAACCAAAGTGCTATATTGAAACTTTGGGATGCCTTGTGTGCGAGTGTGCACTTGTGCGTTGGAGAATGCCAAGCGGGGGGTTTGGAGGAGGAAGGGGTGCCAAAGACCCCTTCCAAGTTTCCCCTTCTTTTTTTGGAAATTTGGTTCTCCGTTGATAGGAAAACGGCGTGCATTCCGAAATATGTTCGTGTTCCCGCCAGGAGCCTCGTCCTACATCCATCCCTCATTGCCGTACACACAAGAGCCAGGATTTATTGCTCAGACGACACTACAGACAGTCCTCAACGTACAACCGCAACTGAGCCCAAACTTTGTCACTCAGTGAGAAATTTGCTAGGTGAGGTTTGGCTCGTTTGACCACTTTTCTTGCTACGGTTGATAAGCGAATCACTACAGTTGTTAAATTAGTAACACGGTGGTTAAATGAGTCTGTTTCCCTATTGACTTGGCTTGTCGCACAGTTCCCAGAGACCGGTGAGGTCCCATAGATTGGGCCTCTTTCAGGTCCCGTCGGCCAGACAATGTCGGCCGGCGGGCCCTCGGGGAAGGGCCTTTTCTGTGGTGGCTCCGACTTGGTGGAATCAACTTCCCCCCCGAGGTTCGAACTACTCCCACCCTGCCGGCCTTTAAGAAAGCTGTTAAAACTTTTCTGTTCCGGCAGGCCTGGGGCTGATGTCCCCGAGGGGGGGGGGCGGGATATGATCGGACACGCTGTATGATTGTATTGTTTTATTGTTAGATTTTTGTTTTAATTTTGTACGCCGCCCTGAGTCCCTTGGGATTGGGCAGCATATAAATAAAAATAAATAAATTGTCAGAATGCCGCAAAAGGTGGTCACATGACCCCCAGGGACACTGCAGCCGTCATGAATGTGAGTCAGTTGTCAAGCATCCAAATCATGTGACCGGGCGGATGCTGCAATGGGGTCATAAGTATGAAAAACGGTTGTAAGTCACTTTTTTTAGTGCTGCTGTAGCTTTGAACAGTCACTAAGTGAGCTGTTGTAAGTCAAGCGGGGTTTGCTCTTATTTTATGTACTACAGGTAGTCCCCAATTTATGACTGCAACCAAGCCCAACATTTCCATTGCCAAGCAAGACAGTTAAGTGACTTAGTACCCTTTTTCACGCTACCATTGCAGCCTTCCCCGTGGTCACATGATCAAAATTCAGACATTTGGCAACTGACTCGTATTTATGACTGTTGCAGAGTCCCCAGGTCACACATGATCACCTTTTGTGACTTTCTGACAAGCAGAGTGAATGGGGAAGCCAGATTTACCTAACGACGGATTTTAAAAGTCCGGCGATTCGCTTAGCAACTAGGACAAGAAAGGTCATGAAATGGGGCAAAAACTCACTTAACAAATGTCTCACTTAGCAACAGAAATTTTGGGCTTAATTCTGGACGTTAAGTCGAGGGCTACCTGTATTAGTCGTGTCTAACGAATGAAGTTTGAAAGAATTTGAGACTTCCATCCATCAATTAACGCCATCTTCCTTTAATGCAGCGTTTTCCAAAGCTGGCAAGGTTCAGATGGGCTGAACTCCCAGAATTCCCCAACCAGCAGGCTCTCTTTTGCAGGTCCCAGATCAATCACTCTTTGGTGGCAGTGCGTGATCCTAAGCAGCATTC